TAGGAAACAAGGGTAAAAATGTAATTCAGCAATAGTAATAGTCATGGTCAAACATATACATACAGTACGGTTTATTGATTCTTAACAAGAACGAAGATCGTTTAATCCGACGGCGATGCCAAGCGGAGGTAACGGAGTCAGTAACGGTGCCGTTAACTCAGGTTCCGGCGCCGGTAACGTTCCGATGTATAAGCCTTACCGTCACCTGAAAACCCTAGAAGGTCACACGGCGGCGATCTCATGCGTCAAATTCTCCAACGACGGGAATCTTCTCGCTTCAGCTTCCGTCGATAAAACCATGATTCTCTGGTCGGCGACGAATTACTCTCTGATTCATCGATACGAAGGTCACGCTCAAGGTATCTCCGATCTAGCTTGGTCTTCTGATTCGCACTACACTTGTTCCGCTTCTGATGACTGTACGCTTCGAATCTGGGACGCTCGAGCTCCGTATGAATGTCTTAAGGTGCTTAGAGGTCATACGAATTTCGTATTCTGTGTTAATTTCAATCCTCCTTCGAATTTGATCGTTTCTGGATCGTTTGATGAGACGATTCGGATCTGGGAAGTGAAAACTGGGAAATGTGTTCGTGTGATTAAAGCTCATTCTATGCCGATTACGAGTGTTCATTTCAATAGAGATGGATCGTTGATTGTTTCTGGAAGTCATGATGGTTCTTGTAAAATCTGGGATGCTAAAGAAGGAACTTGCTTGAAGACTTTGATTGATGATAAATCTCCAGCAGTTTCTTTCGCCAAATTCTCACCTAATGGGAAATTCATACTCGTCGCGACTCTCGATAGTACTCTCGTAAGTTTTCTTGTTGGCTTAATCTGTGAATGAAATCTGGATATGGAATTGAAGAATGCAGAATATTTGGTGTATAATGATCACTTAGGTTTTGAATTTGCATCATATTTGATTTGGGATATGAACATGGAATAAAGAATCAAACTTTCATCTAGTATTTGGTGGGTTCATATCAAGATCATTTAGTTTG